GGGGGGGGGGGGGGGAGGGGAGAAAAAATCAGCCGTGGCGGGCAAGGGCTTGGGGTATTAGTTTCCTTCTCGTTCCCAACCATGCCGCTCGTAGTTGCTCCTCCCCACGAAATGAGCAAACAGAGAACGCAACATACGGCCGTCTACCAGGTACGACCCGTCACGATTCTCCGGGACCCTTGCTGGATTGTTTGATGTTTTCGCTCGTCTGGAGCCCAGGCCCTGGGTCGTGAACTTCGCCAGTTCCGACACTCATTGCCCAGACCTCGACTTGTCGGCTACCCAAAACGGCACATACGCCCACCTCCAAGATATCAGCACCAAATGCGTCCACCTCCGAACACATTGTAAAAAGTCCGGAGAGCTTGTCTTCTTGAGCCGAGCGTGTTAATGTCCCACTGACAATTCAGATACAGCTTGGTACCCAACAAGGCAAGTCATGTGGTGGCCAGATATTTCACCTGTCTTACTAGAGCTCTTGCAACAAACGTGTGTTTTCCTACGGCAAAGCGAGGTAGGGGGGATCCGTGCCAGGACAAAAAATAAACGGGTAGGTTTAGTACAGTAGAGTATGTTTAGTAGAGTATCGAGAATCTGCACAAAATGTTGAGTAGAGTAGAGTATGAGAGAGGTGAATACTCTACTCACCGGAGTAGAGTACAGAGGTTAGGTACTAAACTCAAAGAGTATGTTTAGTAGAGTATCGAGAATCTGCACAAAATGTTGAGTAGAGTAGAGTATGAGAGAGGTGAATACTCTACTCACCGGAGTAGAGTACAGAGGTTAGGTACTAAACTCAAAGAGTATGTTTAGTAGAGTATCGAGAATCTGCACAAAATGTTGAGTAGAGTAGAGTATGAGAGAGGTGAATACTCTACTCACCGGAGTAGAGTACAGAGGTTAGGTACTAAACTCAAAGAGTATGTTTAGTAGAGTATCGAGAATCTGCACAAAATGTTGAGTAGAGTAGAGTATGAGAGAGGTGAATACTCTACTCACCGGAGTAGAGTACAGAGGTTAGGTACTAAACTCAAAGAGTATGTTTAGTAGAGTATGAAAAGCCGTACTAAACCGCAAGAGTATTTTGAGTAGAGTATGAAGAGCCATACTATCAAGTGAGTATGAGTAGAGTATGAAAAGCCGTACTATACTCAAAAAGATGTTTAGTAGAGTATTGAAGAGCCNCTGTACTAAACGCCACAGTACGTTGAGTACAGTATGGAGAGCCATACTGAACGCCACATTGAGTACAGCAGTATGGAGAGCCATACTAAACGCCACAGTACGCTTAGTACAGTACATGTACTGACAATACTGACAGAACAACTACTCCGTACAAGCGTTGATTTGATTGCATGATAAACATAAACATAAACATATTACCCCCCCCCCCCCTCGATGCTCCGTCGCCCCCTCCCTCTCCGTTCTTACCAATCACCACTAAACCAAAACTAAAACTAAAACTATTTTACGAGTACCCTCGCACCGGGTTCTTCAACACAAGACGCGCAACAAGACAACGAGGTGGTCGTCGTGCCGGGCTCAACGAGTGGAGGAGCGCCACAGCAGTCAGTGAACGTCAAGCGTCCCGCACCGGTCT